TAAGCATGTCTGCCTGGGGCATTGCCATCAGCACAGTAATATTCTGAACTGCAAATGGGCTCAGGCTTTAGGCATTCAGCTCTACCAAGGCAGCAGGTCCCCTGGGCATGCAGAGACAGGGAGCCTGCAAGTTTTGAGAAAGGTGGTGTGTGAAATAGGTGGGTCAAGATCAGGTTTGCCACAGGTGGCACCTCTTCTGATGTACTCAGAAGAGGAACCTGAGGCATCTAGAAGGCTTTACTGATACAACACAGAGGCCTCCGCGAATTCATGTGACCATGAATTCAAGAATTTTGTCCAACTGCTCCCCAAGACCAAGGACATCAGCATGCATTAGTAACATTTCTGGTTGCTAATACAGTCTACATTGACATTGTACCTACACTTGCCATGACAAAGCATATCTGAAGAAAAATAATAATCTCTCCTGCAATGACTATTTCAGATAAGGAAGAGCAGGTCAGGTGTTACCTTTTGCCTAACTAAGAGGCAAGTCAGGGTCTGGGCAATTCTGTGTCAGCATTATTTGTGCAGGTGTCTAGAGGTCCTGATATTAACAATAGGCAGTTATTTCATCCATAACTTAGCATTATAAAATGCATGCATCATGAAATATGGATACTAATGGAAAGATAAGAGTTGCTGCTGACATAACAGCAGAAAAGAACTGAACCTGCTATTTCCTTGAGTATTGGCTCTCCACTACTACTGGAGGTAAAAATGTTTTCCATTTTATTCCTCACTGGAGTCTATAGCTATACGACAAATAAATAAGGGAATAAGAAAAACAGTGAGATAACACCACCTCCCCCCCCCAAGAAAAACAAAACACAGAAAGGTATTTTACAATAATCACTGTTATCTTATATAAGCATAATTTAACAAGATTCTTTTAAAAGGTAAGCCACATCAAGTGAGTAGCCATAAAGAGCATAAGATACACAGAACACTGGAAATTCCATTATTTCACATATTCTTTATGATATTCATACTACATTTTTCAATAAATCATGTTGCAAAGGTAGTCAGTACTTCATCATTGGAAGCACAGTATGCAAACAGAGCTAAAGTATTAGATTAAAACCATTTTCTAGTCCTAGTTTCTATTCAAGCCTTGATTGAAGAAGTATTTGCACTGATTATATTAACTCCCATTTGTTAACTGTTTCAACAGTATAACTACCACCAGGTAATAGAATATTTGGTTGCTCTGTCAGAAGTATAAAAACAAGTCCTCATTTTTGAAAGATAACCAAGTGAACAGACAACACTGAAACCCTTCTCAAAAAGATTTGACTCTTTAGGGCAAACTCTGAGCTCTGTTGGTAGTAGTAAGCTTATTTAACTAAACTGATTTTTAAAATTATTCACACACCACACAACACAGAGGAAGAATAGTTATTTCTGTTATCCAAAAAAGAGAAGTGGCAGTTTATTAAAAGATCCTCAACAAAAAGAGAGGTATGCAATTTCAGAAAAGCTTACACAAAATCTTGGCTGTTTTATTACAGGCAAAAGCTATACAATTCCTAGTATCAGCACTTCAGCATCATCCTTAACTGTAAACATCCATAAAGCTGTCAGCAACACAGAACAAATGGCTAACTAATACATCGTATCAGCAAGCAAGTGCTGTATTTTTCTCACAGCCATGTTTGTGAGCTGTGTTAGCACTATGTCAGGGAATCAATAGATATGATTTCCCTTTGCCAGATGTTATTTGTCCTTTTCCTGTTCAATGTAAGCAGAAATGGGCTTCCTATGAAAAATTCATTAAGAATTCTACAGAAAACATGAACAGTCCAAATGCTGTTTTTAAAAAGTAAAAAGTATGCATAAAAAATTCCACTGAATAAACAACACCGACATAGCTAAGGAACATATGCACTTTTAGTACAACACCAACTAATGTGATCATAAGAGATGCATATAAAACAAGGAGTAAAAGGTTATTTTCTAAACAGTGAGAAGAGCTTTTAAATTTAGCATGGCACTCTTCTGTACTAGTTGCTTTTCTAACACGGGCAGTGGAATGTCACTGGCTAAGTTCTATGCCTGATGTGACGAAGTCAACAGTTGAATTTTCACTGGCAAGATGAAACCTCAGTCCAAAGCTAAAAGCTTTGAAAATTCTAGGGTATCTAGTGCTCTTACAGAACTATGTGCTCAAATTAATACTGAATTTAGAAGGAAAAATTAGAAGCAACTTGTCAAGCTACCTCCTGCATAACAAGGCCAAAAAGAACATGATTTTAGGCATGCAAAGGTGTGCAAAGTGCTTTATATTAGTAAGAAGATAGTATGGTTTCTGGCCCTAAAACTCTAATGTAATATAATCAACCTAGAGTGTAGAAAATTGAAAGCTGTAGCACTCTAGAAAGAAAAGGCCAGTTAAGAGTGCAATACAATCAGCAACCATTCAGAAAGTGCCACTGCACAGCATTATGCTTTTAAAATAGTTAAATAAAATGTATTTGGACACAAA